CTCATTACATTGAATCCATTCTCTTTCTTCAAAAGAAATAAAAATGCCCTCCAATGATTGTAGAATTCACGATTATGTATACATACTTGTGTGTAATATCTAGTTTAACAGAAACTTATCAATAACAAGAAAGGGGAAACCAACATGTAACGGACTCATAGTTCAAACACAAGTTCGATGAAACTATAGCAAATAATGAATATCAGACGGATTAACGCTGAGATCAGGCCTTCCGGAAGGATAAGCGCCTTTTGCTTCGTCGACGACTCCTACCATGTACACCTTGGTAAATCCAAACGATATCACGTTCTCACATCAGAAGAGGGTGAATATCAACAGACTCGGTAGGTATACTAACGAGCATCAAATACGTCCAGCTTCATATTGCATAAAGAAAGAAAACACTTGTTTCTGAAGTCACTTAGACGCCAGGTAAAGCTGCACGGAGAAACTTCTACTCTTTACTGTGGCATGTTCGAACATCGCAATTACAACGTTTATTTATGATATTGAATTAATCGACCAAACGAGGTAACAATAGAAAAAAAAAAAAAAAAAAAAACGGAAATAGTCAGAAAAGGACCAGATTTTACTGAGGGGAACCATGGTATCAAATATTTTAATTTGCACAAATTTAAAACGACCAATTGTTGAATCGGCTGAAAAAAGTTTTATTATTCAATAAAACAGGTCATCATTTCTTCAAAAGAACATTTATAAATAAAATAATGACATGTCTCATGTTAGCAGCGACAAAAACATCGAGTAAAAAATAACACCAGACCATCACGATAAAGGAACAGGTCGTGATTAGCCCGGAAGAAAATTAAAAAAAGAAACAGTAGCAAAATATTGTGTAATGTATCATTTGAATCCTTACCGGCAGAGTAGTAAAACCGGCAGAGTAGTAAAAATCAGTTACTTGTTGGAGTAACAAACCCGTGAAAATATCTATAAACACGAGATCTCAGAGGGATCTCAGAGGGCACGCATCATTCAGTGAATTTCACGAAGTATTCATTGTCAAAATCAAAGATGGCCTCCGAACAGCCATTCCATTGTTCTGATCAATAATAAAATCAAAAGTGAAAGCTAGAGCTCATGGGAAACAGACACAAAGTGTTTCTGAAGAAATAGAACTATTATCACATTCACTTACGACCGCCTGTTTGCCACTTCGTTTTTTCTGATCAGTCTCAGAACCAACACAGTAAAAAAAAATGTACCGAGGGAAACCTTCAGATAAAATAAAAAAAAATACCGATCTCGTTCTGCTCCAGAAATAGCTACAACAAATTATCTGATCAGACCAATTGTCAAAGAGCATACCTAGGGACCTAGAGAAAACTAGAAATAAACTTTCAGAACGACTCATCCAACATTTATCAAGAAATAGCCATAACAATTATTGTTTGTAGAATGAAAACAGACGTAGGACGATTTAAATAACCTACCATTTGATAATGGGGGGCTAAAACATGGAATGCTTTTTATGAAGTATGTTTTCAAAGATTTGTTTTCTCATATATTGAATAAATAGCTCGGCATGTATTCCACTTTTCATCTTGTGTACAAGAAACATATCTTCCCACTTTCAGTCACAATTTCTTCATACAATGTCACATACTAATCCCCAAATTATGCTTCAGAAACAGGGGACATACAGATACTTTTTTATTTAAGTACCTGTCAGTCCATCATTCTGTCCTTTTGCTGTTTACGTCCTAGAACAATATTAATAATAATTTCGTTAAGTTAAGGTAAAATATATTTGTGCATTAGAAACATCTATTCATTAAACATCTATACAATTGCTATTAAACATTCTTAAACAGAAACAAACACAATCATTTGGAAAGTCACACGGGATAGAGTGTATTGAAGTGGTATGTATTAGCGGAAACAATATCTCAACCCGTAGGAAATATTAACAATAATGTTGATTGAAATTTATCCACATCACACATGGGATATTAATTTTATTCCCACATATTATTTGCAGTTGTGGAATATCATCATTGTAATATAATGAATTTGTCATGGAATGTATATCAATAGTTATGCAAACATTACATATGTACTGTAGATAATATTCACGTACTCTACTGGGGAATTGTGACGTTTTTGGGATATTGATGTCATTTCAGGAAAGATGTAATCTGTTACGCTGTTAAACATAGTGCTCGTTTTCAGTCAGTGACGTCAGAATTCCTATCAATAATAGCCTGATATAGTATCTTCTTACGTGCACCTTTTTACGTAAATTCACACTGACAACATCCATGATATCTTAACCTGTCACATACCTCTCATTTATGTTACATTCCTATATTCAAAAACTCACAGTAGACAGTCATAACGTTTATATTAATGATAAGGTTGACTTAAAATTGCATACATACACACGATTTCATATCAGTAATAACTTTTTTATTACTTGCAACATTTCCCTGACATTTATGAGCTTAAATGTAAAACGGATTTCCTCATATTTTCTTTCATATACAACGAGTATCGAGACATTCTTAATAGCACAGAACAATTACTTAACACTTCGTACGCGTTTACTGTGTAAGGATACGTTAATGATTTTTGTATAAATTCCTGAAAAAATATCATAAAATCACATTCATCCTATATAACCATAGATATCACAGATGTTTCCATTGTAGTTGGCGTGGTTTATTAAGCGTGACCAAACTAACGTGACGATACGGTACATTGTACTTGTTATATGTAGTGTCTTTTAAAGTGCAGAAAATAACGTCTCCAAAAACGAAAACAAAAACAAAAATTGAAATTGATAGTCAATATTAAAATGTTTGCAATCTTGACATTATTTCTCTCGATATGACTTATCGTGAAATTTATAGTTGGAATGGATTTTTAATTTTAAGATTTTTAATTGAAAAAATCATGATAATTTAACGTGATTTTGATAACAATCGAACAAAAAAAAATGAAAGGAATGAGTTAGAGTAAAGAATAAAACTTGGAACATGCAATATTTTAACTCGATTTAAACATTATGAAACCAGTATAGAATACTATGAAAACAGTCTATGTTTCAATTTATACATTACATGAATCAAAACATTTCAGAGCTAAACCAGAAAAATCGACCTTTGCTTGCATAATAATAGCGATTAACGTCCCATCCTCATCTTAATTAGCATTAATACGTAGTTTGTAGAACTCGGGGGAACATTACTAACTTACTATTTGTAGAGATCTTTTCATTAGAGTTCAGAAAAAAATATATCAAATTATTTCAATACTGAAATTCCATTGCTTGACATATCATAACATTGATTCACATTATCACATAGTCCTTCCTCGTGTCGAATACCGTCAGTATAGCTCAACACAGAGAAAGATTCTTTTCCTTTGAATAAAGGATGATGGGCGGAGATTAACAATATCATTAGTTCTATTAAAAACTAATATGAGAGCACTTCTTGTCTCAAAACTTTGGTGTAGAAATTATATGATCATGTACATATTGATAAAACAAAAATTAACAGAACAGTAAAAATTTATTAGTCTACATTAATATATCATTTAATGGACGAGTATTTGTCATATATTTCGCACATTAACAGCGAAAATCAAAATATTCATCCAAAATTCGTTAGTAAATATAAAAGTTATCAGATAGTATGGAATGTATTATGAATGAAGAATAAATCATGTTTGTCTCATTTAAGAGACGAGATATATAACTTTGTTAGCATATACTTAGAAACAAATCAGTTACAGCAGTCCTGACTTTTTTCAATGAAAACCAGATTTATTAATTTAAGGGATGAATGTTTGTCATATATTTCGCTAGTGAAACACACACGCGAAAATCGAAATATTCATCCTGCGTATTTCACATATATACATATAACACACATATAACGATGTCTTGCAGCTAATCACTAAAAATCTAACAATATATCATAAAGTAATAATTTATGTGATATCTTTATAACAAAGTCATGTGGTATGATTTAAGTTGTTTGAAGAGAATACAATATTTAGACATCATCAAAATACTTTTTTTTTCAACTTTAAAACATGCATTAAATACACAAAAACATATGTAACGTTGAAAACTTATCATGCTCCTAGAAGCAGATATTGAAGGTATGAAATTATAAAATAATAGTTATAAATATATAAGTAGTTTTCATAATTAAATGTCACTGAGTTTGACGGAGTGAATATTTTTCATACTGGTATATTTCGCTCGTGTAACACACTTGTGAAAATCAAAATATTCATTCCATCCCTTAAGACATAACTACTTCTCATAAAGTATTATAAAGAAACTAATATTATGTTTTAAAATATAGATCAGAATGATGAATTCTAAATGATGCATAGATGAATAAACGAATATGATTGAATGATTAAATAAAGGTGACTGACTGAATGAATGAATAAAGGTGACTGAATGAATGAATAAAGGTGACTGACTGAATGAATGAATATAACTTTCAGTTAGTATTACAAAAATTAAAAAAAAATGGAAATCTTCGCCTGCCTTATTGGACCTTACCTTTAACAAAAAGTAATTATTGCGGATTCGTTTAGCATGACATTTGACAAGAATCTATTTCTTCTAGCTGAATTTTGACAGGCTATTTCTTTTCTAAATGAAATTGAGGTGGTCAACATTACGCGATTTTAATCACTTGTATAAGAATAATCTTTCATTTCAAAGAGCTAGTCCAGTGAGTGTATAACATCATTCATAGTTTTGGTATTTGCAATGACTTTTCTAAAATCAAGAATCCAAGATTAGACATGAACACTTTTCACATCTGTACACGGTAAAAAGACAAACATAAAACTATTTCTGACACGATTTCTAAATAAAAGATAAATGTGTTTACTTTAAGTAATTAGTATTTTGATAATCTAATCACTCTTCGATTAATTCATATGAAAGTAGACACAAAAATACGATATTTTCTAATCAATGCTTGAAAAAAAGCATGTGTTTCCCCTAATGTTGAAAATGAAATAAAAATGCAAATTCAATCATAAATTAATACTAAGAGTAACCAAAAATAGGGATAGATACTCTTACTTGAAATGCATTTTCGGGAACGTATGCTATCACAACAAAGCTCTATATCGCTGCCCAAAATTACAATCCCCCATCTTGAAATTTACAGTTCAATGATTATTGATAATAAATGGGATATTTGTAATCGCATCGAAAAATAACGTTCCGTATGAAAACCAAACGAGTCATTTCAAATATTCAAAAAAGTCTTTGTACAGCAAATAAGTCAGTCAATCTTAAATATGACGTCATAATGATATTGCCGTGTTATTCATGACTGGTACGAATAGCATTTGGTGGGTATAAATCTGTATATACCCAAAATCTCATGTAATGGTTTATATTAAACTATATCAATATAATATACTTTATTTACATATCACAGATGATATCTTGCAAATGACGTAATAGTATATCCGTATCTTCTCTGATGTCTAAAAAAATCTCTGAAATTGAAAAGAAAGATAACATTTAACAACAAATTATCCCGAAAAAAAAGTATTTGATCAGTTTGATCAGTTTGCATTTACTACAAAAGTAGTTGTCAGTGTTTGAATTTTGATAATCATAACAAATTTTGACGTCAAATTAATTTACACTTGATTTGCAATCATTATGAACACCACTTAAATTACTTCGTTTAACAGATATGAAAAGGAAACTGAATTCAGAAAATAAATAAAGAAAAAGGAAAATAAAAGACAAAAACTGAACGCTTTCATTATAACACATTAAGAAATAAATTATATTATTCAACGTGTATTATGCAACTGTAGTATTACCTTTTTGATGATATGCTCGTTTACGTCTACATACATCCAGGTGTATAGTTTCATTTTCTTGAAGTTCATTAATTTATATTCTAAAGTATTCAGTCCTTCGGACTTGTGATAGCCCTCCAGAGAGTTGTATATAGTTAACCTGAAAATAAGTACATATTCAAGATGGTGTTGTCATCAGAAAGTGATGCATGCATTTATGCTAAGTACAACAGTGACTCTAACTTGACTTCTCCTGACTGAAATTAGGGTGAAAACAACACACTACATCTTTTTCTTGTGACAACTACGGGATGAAATTCGCAATTGAGAAAAAGTGTGATTTTTAAAATGTCTACTTTCAATACATCTACAAAGTACATTATGATTTTCGAATAATATTTTAGACTTATACAGTTCTGTCGTCCTCTAAATAATAACTTTCCACGCGTATAACATACAATAATTCAGCAATGTTACAACTTGAAACTTATTCTATTAAGAGTTGTGCAGCTGATGTAAATTGCACTTAAAGTTCGCAGTTCATTGTATTTACACGATGTTAGGTTCCGTACCTAAATCAAGGCAGATAACAAATAAATCTGGTACGGTTACTTACCTAGCTTTTAAAACCGGATCTGCAACGTGTGTGAGTGTAGTGACACTTCCTATAGGATTTGGAGGTCTTTCTATGAGGTAACCTTCATCAATTATTCTAAAAGAAATATCGAACACCCATCTTGAACTTATCTATGCAAACGTTGATTTGTTTAATACATCTTAAATACACTTTGAATATACTGAATGTAACGGTGAACGAAATTTTGAGTAAATAATTAGCAGCTCCTTTAAAAAGCCAATGTCACCATTAAAACGAATTAAGTGAACTTCTTTAATCAGCAATAAAGGCATGGTAAAGAATGTTCTTCTGCTAATGATTATATAAGGAATAGTTCATCAAAGTAAAAAAGAATCCCATGAAAATCACACGTGGTCTCTTTGGAGGTATGCTTTGTTAAACGGAGGCAGTAATCAGTCAAGCGTGATTAAGTAGATTTAGGGCATGGTCACCTACCTTCGGTATAAATCGTCATCTTCAGCACCCCATACGAAAAATAAGTTAGAGTAACCATTGATCCTCTGAAATTGCTCCGGTGTAAACCCAATGATCCCACCTACGAGTGTTTGATAAGGCAATCTGCAAGAAATGAATTATTAAAGCCATACTAGCAAATTGATTATGTATTATTGCGCTAATTAAATTTCAGTTATATAGTCTGTTTTATGCGACATCAATACATTTAGTGTATCAAAAGTGGATCATGCAAGTAAAATGTGGTTTGCAAAAAGGAGCACATTCAATAATTGTTCGAAACAGATGGATAATATACATAACATTTCAATTTATTGAGTAAAGGCAGTCAGATTTCCTTATACCTAGGCGCGACATTTTAAAAAAGCTTATATTACACTTTACACTCCATAATAATATCTGTTCGTAAATTGCCCATGTCATTGTTCAAAAAGCGCCACGCAAATAGTAACAGAAACAGTGACAGTAAGACACACACACACACACACACACACACACACACACACACACACACACACACACACACACACACACACACACACACACACACACACACACACACACATATATATATATATATATGTATAAACATATCATAGTAAGGTATATACACGTATATGAGCATATGAATAATTGAAATGTTACCTATACTTATTCCTACTAATACCGGACACCAAATGTCGTATCATATCTGGATTACAATAGAAAATGTTGCGGTCATCCTCAATGACCGTATCCACATCGTTGAAGATAAAACAGTCATATGAGGCAGTTTTCATAGCTTCCACGAAACCAACGTTTCTCATCAGCCCCCTGTTAAAGCTGGAACCTTCACTCTAAATCAAACGAAAAAAAAACAAAAAATAGGAAAAACTAAAAACAACACAAAAACAAATATCACGAATTAAAACTGAATAGGTCTGAGAATAAAAAGTATAAATTTTTTATACAGAAATTCAATTCCAATGAGAGTTAAAATGTAAGCAAGAAAATGTTTATTTTTACCAATTTTCTTTATGGCTTTTGAAACTTTCGCATGAGTTCAAAATATCTAAAAAGTATGATACAAGGGAGATAATTGTAAACACTAAGGTTTAGACATTTACCTGTTCCACTACGAAAATAGTGAAGTCAATTTGTTGTCTAAGAAGCTTGGGCAGTACATTAAAAAGGAACTGAACTAAGTGTTTCCTTCTGTCTCGATACGGTAGTATAATGGCTGTCCTTCCCAAACCTGGACATTTTTTAGGACGGAAGTGACCACCAGGTAAGCTTAAATTTCCGAAAACCTCCTCCAAAATGTCAATGGTTATGTCAGACTCGTCCACTTTTTGTCGTTCCACTTTAATGAAAACAAAAATATCAACGTTTAATATGACAGTATAACTATGGGAGAGATGATTAATTCATTAAAACAATGACATAACTATATTTTTGTCAAATGTGCTTACTTATATATATATATAACTTATCCGAGGGTACACTTCTTAAAAGTACTGTAAAAGTGGTCGTACAATTACAATGTTCATGCTTCTATAAATACGCATTACCCTTTCCGACTGCCAATATACTAGATAAAAGATAAAATTGCAAACAAGCTAACTGTTACATATAGACAAATACCTAAATACAACATTATATCGTTATCATGCAATTTTCCAAATAAGAATATGTTTGACTATATTTCAGGTTTTACGTCATGACTTAAAAATGAAAATTGTGCCGACGATAACATAAACAAAAATGAGAATAATAAAAACTTAGACAGGAGCAAAAGAAAACAGATTTCAATTGATGCAAAGAAAACAATAGACTGATTAATCACTTAATAACATCATTCATCCTTCAACTTGAACAAATTCTGACATATATACAACACAAGGCAATACAGAATGCCAATTTGTCTGGAACACTAAAAGATGATATTTAAACAATTAAACAAAAGAATTATTCTACTTCTCGTTTTGTTAAAAGTTAGCTGCATGAACATCCTGAACCGAATGGAACGGCATTGAGCCAATGTAATACAGAATACGCAACCAAACATTCAGTGCTTACACAAGGTTGCTTTAGGTAATTTTAACCGTGATGATACGAGTTATCCCCCCTGAGCTTAAACAGTCACTTATACATAATAGATGTTTTATGGGTACCGAGATTATTCATGATATGTCATGTTTTGTGTTACGCTTAATATGTGAGAAAACAAGCTATGATAACCATCTAAATAAGTTTATACATACATATTATGATATGCATTATTCATTAGAAATAATCTCTTGGTTAAAGCTATTCTTTATTACATCATGAAATATATTGGAATTGTAAAGTGTGCGAAAAGTTTTACAGTGGAAGCAAACGCGCACCAACGGTAGAGCGGTGACTCCATACCTTTTCATGTCCGATTGGGGAATCAAGCTCCAGTCGTCTAGGTAAAAGGCGAGCCCGTTTAGGGGTTGAATAATGCTGAGTTGATGTTTATACATTATTCAGTGCTACCGTTCACATTTAAAGAACTTTTGATAATTTTCTAACAATCTCAAAAGCATGCGGAAATTGTGAACCTCTACATATATTGTTGGAACAAGAGACGTAGTGTGGAGGCATAGGAGTCATGCTCACTGATTTTGAAATTAAGAAATAGAGTATGAATACATCCCATTTTAATCTATTCTTTTGATATTAGTCGGTATGTATTCTGACAGGAAAGTTAACTTTCATGACGGTATGTATACTTACAGAAATAAAGTACTCGATGGTATGAGTTGGTTTGCATACTTACAGAATGGAAGACGTTGGTGACACGAGTCGAGATTGTCCAGTGGATAGGCGATGACAAAATTGGGATGACCAAAGACGACATAGAATGATTCCTTGAATGTCACACTAATGTAATAGCAGGTCAGAATGAAGATTCCCACTGTAATAAACCTTTTCCGTCTCATCGCCAAACAGTTGGTTCACCTTTACCTGTGCAAACACATACATTCATAATGTGTAATTTAAGATTTTAAAAAAAATGTGCTTTAAAACACGGACATTTTCGAGCTTCTGAATAACTTCAGCGTATCATGTTCTTTTATACATAAACAGTCAATTATTGAGAGCTTTTTGATACATTCATTGATTTCGTAGTTATTTATCTAAAACTATGTCATGTTTCACTTGTTCACATCAAAAGATTACAAAATGCAATCTAAAAAAATTCTCTGTAACGAGTCCCGTCGAGATAATTGAAATATTAAGAAGGAAAGAAAAAATGGTATAATAAGTCACACAAATATCAAGCTGATCATTGACAGATACTGGATAACTAGTGAGGAATGTTCTAATAATTTCAAATTTTGACATTAAGAAATGGAGTATGGATACATCCCATTTTAATCTATGGCTTTTGATATTATATAGCGATGATCATTGACAGATAACTAATAATTAATTAAATGCGCCAGAGATGTGTCCAAGACTAATTAGTGCTGTCAGGAGTCTAATAGGTGGAAATTTAGAAGCAGAGATCGTAAAATCATAAAAAGTTGAAAGATATGAATAAGAGATGCGTTAATCCCATAATTCAATCAGTGTGAAAAACAAGAGATACCATAGGGATCTTGGCTTCCAGCATTGTTTCATCTTTATTTGCTCTTGGAAAATTGGATTTTTTTTATTCTTTATCTTCTCTGTTTTTGCTCTCAATGATAAGAAACTATTTTGTTTCTTATGATCAATCCCAAAATCAAACGATAGAGACCAAAGGGAACATACATATCAAATTGGGAGAGATCCATTCAGTTCTTCTTAAGAAATAGGGATAACAGTCTTTAGGTAGCCAAATGCAATATAGCTGCCAAATGTATACGTGTTGATTTTTTTGACAACACGTGTCGCATGACACATATCATTAACTCATTGGATACTAGTAAACTCTGTTGATACCATCAGCATGTAAATTATCCGACATGGTATTTAAACAAATAATTAACATATTTAAAAGAGTAGAAAATAATAGAATCTTCTGAACGTACAATTGATTGAAAATCAAAAAACTTCCGTCTAGTTGATTGATTTTGATAATATTGTAAATGTACACTTTGTTAGGCTGTTGATGGTACGTTACAGACACAAATAACAAATTGATAATATCTTTTCTAAACATGTTAGATTATTTAGGTTTTGAAAACTGCCTACCATTTCAAAATTTCAGTTACTGTTTTATTTTGATTTAAAAATACAATTATAGATCCGTCTGAAAAGTTGTTTGGTGAATTTATCTGATTAGAATCTAAAAAGAGATTTCAGCACAAAATGCTGAAGTCCATTTCATCAGCTGTCTTCATACTCTCTGAAGCACCATTCCCTTTCTGCTGATTTCATTACCACGCGACACAAAGCGTTTGATGAAAGGAAGCCTACATAATCAGGGCTTTTCTGCCGTGAGTTAATGAGAAGATCAACAATACCATGGGTGATTTGTTATCGCACATCAAACAATTGACAGTTCTGACTTTCCTTTATCCCGCTTTTATTTAAAGATGAGTATTTGCATCTAGATGTGTCTTTATATAAAGTGACAAGTGAAGTATTGCTCTATTTTATCGCATTTTAACGAAAATCATGGCTTACTTAACACTTTTCAATCGCTGATACTTCCAGCAGGGGTCACAAAGTACAGAAGTTATCTACCAAGACTATTGATCACAAGGTCTCAAGTCTGGTCCCGACAGATATAAGGACCAATAAGCAGCCAAACATTTAAACAATATCGGAATTTCCTCTGTATTACTGGGGTCAAAGCAAACGAAGACATCCTATATAAGAACACCATATTACATTTAAAAGCACGTTGAGGTCCTATTACAAAAACACTAAACCACATACCAAATCGCGTTAAAAACATAAATGAATAGGCCTGAGTGCGATTATAGATGTCGTTAATAATGATTTGAATAGATGTTGGAATCATATACAAAAACACTGACCTTCAACAAGCTAAGTTATTTAAATGTGTTAATGCGCAATAACTAACTATATTTATGAGAGACAATGGACAGTACAAGGAAATATCAGGACTTAGATGTTACAGAAGCCACATATCATACCTTAAAATACAAATTTAGAGAACTGATATACATTATCAAAGTCAACGAGGTGATTAACAAAACCTAAAGTAAGAATATCACAATTTCGTAAAAGTACACTCAACCAGGAGTTATAGTCAGGGGTGTATATAAATGTACCTCCCTGATTATGTGTCTCTTTTCATCACATATGTTATGGCATTTCTTCGCAACGCATAGAACATGTTGTCTTGTGGCTATGTACGGTTTTATTGGAGCCTATAGGGATGTGGAACAATTAGTATGTATTATATATGCACTATATATGAAATGTCAAATGAGTGTCAAATGATTACCAGCCCACCCCCAGCCCCTCCCCTCCAGGACAGTTAAAATAAATTGAATCTCTTTCATCCAAACCCTTCATGAAGGTGTGAATTCACTCTGGTAATTCTTACATCGTTACGTGGAGCAGCAGTTAGCGCATGGATACCGTCGTTAAAGATTAGAGCCAGTGCTCTGTGACAGTAAAAACAAAGGAAATGAATGCCATCTCCCTCTCATCCAGGCCTGTTTCCTGTTATGAACCATGAAGGTGTGAAATTTCGAAAGACTCTTAAAACTGGTGCTGTCAAACAAACCATTTAGCATCCACAGGCAGGGCATCACGATAGGATGTAGGCTGGGAACAGGTAATTTGTCACTTATGTCAATTACATGTAGTAACGACAGGTGAGATGAACGTTATCTAGCAGCATCCCAATCCAACTCGGAGTTTCGGTAGAATCAACTTTAATTTCAAACAATATTATCGACATATACTCGAGTCGGGTATTAGATCAAAACTTAAAGATCGAAATCCGTTGAATTAACATAATGATCACTGAAAGTATTAACAACATTTTGTGAAGATTTTCAAATTAAAATTGCAAAACTACGGACCATGGGAGGCCCACATTTTAAACATGAAAAGAAATTCATTCAGTACTCAACAAAAATTTGCGATAACAAACTTTCACTGTCAAAATCCAAGATGTTCACATGTTAGCCATTTTCAATTCTTTTTATCAGTTCCAACATTAACAGGGCAAAATCAGAAACCAAGGAAAACCTGCATATGGAATTTGAGATTTATCCAATCTGTAAAAAAAGAGTGGCAACAAATATTCATTGGTAAAATCCAAGACGGCCGCCTGCCAGCCAGTTTGTTGCATCTGATACAATGTATGTCCCAAAACCAGAAGGGAATAACTAGGGACCAAGGGAAACCGTCAAGTACTTCTCAAACAGCAATAGCAGAGAATTTTTGAAGAACAGACGACAGGTTATTTGAATAGGGTGCTGAAAAGTAATCAAGTTACTGTTCAAATCATATCTTTTAATGGCTGAAAACTTTTTCGTGGACATTTGATTTCGTGAATAAATATAGCGCAATAAATCTGCTTATACTTCTTTAACAGTTCGTGGGCAGATGCACACGTTTATTGAGAGTACTCACGAAATCAATGAAGCTGAATTCACCACGAAACTTAATGATCCCACAGTGCTTGTTGTGCATAACAGGAAATAGAAAGTCAATGATTTCTTTACATGGCAAGGTAGTGTGAAAGGAATCGATTAGAATATTATCTGTCCCACTTTCATTCCCTTTAAAAGCAAATAAAGCATAATGTAAATCATACTTTAAAATACCGCTAGCTCAGCGGTAGACATTAAACCACAGCGGGTGTTCAGACACTTTACTAAATACAACATTCGACCCCCTTCTCCTCAGGGTGCTTAAGACCAACCAAGTATCCGATATAGTCGTCTGGACTTGTAAATTTGTAATGAAAATCCTGACTTAAGGACAACAGGCGTCATGCCACGATATACGCTCATTTGGCACTCCGAACCATGTGACCTTACAATGAAGGAAAACAAGAACTGCAGAGTTGAATCTTTAGTCCTGATCTTGGAAACGATGAAAAACCCCACTTATTTCCATGTCTATCCTTCTAATCACAATTTTTCAAACCACAGTATAAACAAACAACAACAGGAAAACATCAAATAAAATAAATATTAAAGATCGTTAAAAGATTAAACGGAACAGTCACAATAATCAGCCAAAACCATTAAGTGAGCTTCGCTACGTTTTCTTGGGTAATAACACTATCCTATATTCTTTTCGATGCCCATATCAAACACTTTTTTCATTATTGTCCATTACTCTGAAAATTCATACAGATAAGTTTAAGTGGTTTTATGATTACAGGTCAAGCATTGGTCGCCATAGATACGCGAGTCTAGTGGCATATGTGCTAGCATGAGAAGATAAACTAACACGAAAATCAATAAACCATGGAATAGTATACGTTTGAGGTTATATCTTTAATAAAAAAAAAGCATGTACTATTATGAGCTTTGTGAACCTATAGCACACATTTCCAGTTGTTTCCTTAAGCGACCACCAATTGTAACTGAAAACTTGCTTGAATTCTGCATGCTGTTTCAAAACTACTGAAACTATTTGAACTTTCAAACCTTCTTAGAAGATTTGTGTCGGGCAACAAGGTATAGCTGGACCTGGCAAATGCCTTTGACTTGCACAAGAGCCTATTGCACAAGGTTAGACAGCATTTAAACTGACTTGCAAGTCTGGTTGTTCATAGGTTTCAATAAACTCATTTTTTCCAGAGTTATGGCCCGTCAAATATCAGATTTCATTACTTTCCCACAGTAACGGCCCGTCAAATATCAGATTCCATTGCTTTCCCAGAGTTATGGCCCATCAAATAACAGATTCCATTACTTTCCCAGAGTTATAGCCCCTCAAATAACAGGTTCCATTACTTTCCCAGAGTTACGGCCCGTCAAATATCAGATTCCATTACTTTCCCAGAGTTATGGCCCCT